CCTCCACAACTAGACTGAAGAACAAAACGACAGCAACTTGTCTGTTCCCCTTCCCCAATTCCCCAGCACTGTTCCCATCCCCCCAATTCCCCAATTAAAATAAATAAATAAAATAAAATAAATGGTTATGCATTTATTAAAGAAGGGGAAAGAGGATGGAAATAACATGAGACAGAACTGAATGCTTCTATCTCAGGTACTTTTACACAAATGAACATTCATCCCCCAAATAATTAGCAGGTTAGTCTTAAAATTCAGTTTCAAAGATAAGGAAACTGAAGCTATGGAATTTAAACGAATTGCTCAGAGTCACAGGCTGTTAAATCATTGAGGCAGAACTAGGACTGAGGTCTGCTAGACTCCAAAGTTCGCTTATCGCCCCACCCTATTTGGCCCCGTGGCTGAAGGCAGGAGGAATGGTCAGCTTAACAGCTGTCAAGGTCTAGTTCAGAGACATTAAGCATCAAGGTTTCTGCTTGAAGATAATAAATGTGCTGGTTCTAAAGGGGCACAAGTCACACTTAGCCTCGTGATAGCTGAATCCAGGTGTGGTATGGACAGAACTCACTCCTAGTTCTTTGGTTTCCTACAGAAAATCACAAAGTGGCAGCTGAGCAAAGGCTCTGGGAGATCAGTTAAGATGCAAGAGGTTCACAGGTAGTAGAGAGCTTCACCCTCCTGGGCTGTATGCCCAACATATGGAAATGAAAATGGCCTTGTTCTCTAACACTCTCAGGCATGTGAGAAACACCCTGTTATGAGCAGCAGCACATGGTCCCACACTGCTTTTCACAGAGCCCTGTTCTACCTCTGTATACTGAATGACCAATGGGTGCCATTGCAGTCATCTGAGGAAAGCCGTCCTGGAGAATGAGCCATCATTGAAGATAAAATCCATCTCAGCACATATACACATGTGTGTGCATGCACACACATCCATTAAATCCAAACCTAAAGCATTCTGACTTGAAACAATCCCCAATACCACTGCACACTTGAGAGTGGAGCCAGTCCTCACTGGGCACCTAGTGTCCACAAACCCTTTTGCAGATATTACCACGCCTAACGCCCCCATCAACTCCCTGAAGGAGGCATTAGTGTCTCCACTTTACTGATGAAGAAACTGAGATGTGAGGAGGTATGGGAGCTGCAGAGCGCAGTGGTACAGGGCTGCATGAGGGCCCAGATCTATCGTTAACCAGCACTGCCCTCTGCTTCACCGCTTGTGTGTGAACACCGTGTCTGGGGTATGCTTCCAGATGCCATAAGACCCTCACAAGGCCCCTGTGCCCCCAGCAGCTCACTGCTCTCTGTGGTGAAACGGAAAACACTCCTCACTCACTTCTTGCAGTGTGGGCGTGAGGAACAATTACTCAGAAAGATTATAAAGCACAGGAGCCCTACAAAACATGATTTCCGCACTCAAGAATAATCATCCAGGGAATAAATACTGCAGCACAAAAGGGTCAAGAAGTCTCCTCCCCCTCGAAAACGAGTCTGGACTCTGTGCAGGCTTTCCCTACCTGGCAAGCACAATGGGCCAGCACTCCAGGCTGGTATTCTACAGGCAAAAGGGCAGCAGGGTTCCAGCCTAGAGGCCTGCAGACACACCAAGGTGCCTCCTAAGAGCCTAGGCCTGTGCCTCCCCTATCCCAAACTTTTCTCACCCATGACCAAACACCCACCTATTTTGGGTGGTCAAGGATGATTCAGCATCTGCTCCAAGTTTCCCCCTGAACAGTTTTCCACCATCAATTTCTAAACTTAAAAGGAAAGGGAAACAAAAAAAGAAAGAAAGAAAGAAAGAAAGAGAGAGAGAGATAGAGAGAGAAAAGAAAAGGAGCTTAATGATTGGAAGACCCTGAAGCTGTGTGTACAGAAGCTGAAATGTCAAGGTCTGAGAGTACTCAACAAATGAAAGCAGAATTATATAAAAGCAACAGCTAATAAAAGAGATTGTCAGGTGCTGTGTTTCCATCCTCCCGGACATTACAGGAATAAAATTACCCATGGAGAAAATGGAAAACTTTTTTCACAACTGAGACAATTAAGCCTTCGATTGTGCCTCCTTGATCCCCTTTCTCCAGCTTCCCTCCACTCCCGACCCCCCTCGCCAAACTCCAGTTCTTGGGATGTTGGAGGTACTTTTCTTCTTTGTATTATCACCAGCAAAATGCTAGTGTTTAAGAATCAGAAAGGAGATCTTTTTCACCTCCTTTAGGAAGCATTCAGTAACTGTTCACAATCATGTAGGTAAATATCATTTAAATAAAAAAAATTTTTTAAAAAAAGCCAAGGGCCGGCCGAGTGGCTCAGTTGGTTAAGAGCTCGCTCAAGAGTGCGCGCTCTGAGCAACAGTGGTTCAATTCCCGGCCCGAGCTGAGCAGCCACTGAGCTGCCAACAGGTGGCAGGATGGCTCAGCTAAAAAAAAAAAAAAGCGTACATTTGCATATACAAGGAGTTTGGGCTTCACATTATGATGAGTGGAGAAGACCAGAAAGGCTCATCTGTGAGAATGTCCTTTCCTACAGCAAAGCCGAGAACTGGTTTTAGAAGGAGAACCAAAGTAGAGATGAGAAAGGAGGGTGACAAGGGGAAAACAGATTTTAGGGGAGAAAAAAATGCTGTGAGGCTACTTCCCTTCCACCCCAAACAGACACAGGCACACAGGCTTCTAGGAGCCAAACGCAAAGAAGATGCAAGAGGAGCACAGCAGGAGGCCGCAAAATTGCACACGTAATAAAACGAAATCTGTGCTTATGAACATATGGGCAATTGTGATTATTTAGAGCTATGGCCGGTGGAATTTTTTTACCCTTTTATAGGATCTCAAGTCAGAATTTTTGTCATTACAGCTATAGTCAAATCTGGGCAGGAGGCTGTTCCAGGGAATATTTGCTTGTTAAGGGCCACCTCTGTAGACAGCTTGGGGTACCCCGCCAACCCTGGGACCACAGGCTCTCACCATCAGTACTTTTTGTTCACATCACACTTCTGGACATCTCTTAGACACCCCAAAGAGGGTGGACAGGAAGGGGTGTCCAAGGAGCAGGAAGGAACCTCCCTCCTGTCCCTACTGCCTGGAAATCTAGAAATCCACGTTTCTGCTAGGCTCTGGTGTGGCACGCCACAGGAGAAAACCCCTATGAAAATCAAGCCCCTCAAGCATACTGTCAATTTCAAAGCTCTAAACCATGACAAATGATTCTTGGAGATTTCCTGCAATAAACTGATGGCTCGGGCTGCTTGGCATGCTGTCTCAGGCAGGAGGAAAACACCTTTATTGTAAGCCCTCCTAACCATCCCCTCCCAAGTTTTAAGCCATTTCTTGGGAAAATCTGTGATGATCAACAAATCAACCCTCCCCTAAAAGTAGGCAAGTTAACAAATGAATTTTCAAGAATTGTTGTTGGCTTAAGAAAAAGGAAAGATGATGTGTCTCTGAATCTCATTCGTTTCAAAGGCTTATCCTTCGAAAAGTAGGGTGTGTAGCCTGTTGCACTTTGATCTCTCTGACTCCCAGAAGAAAATCAATAATACAACTTTAATATATTTGTATAGCAAGGCTTCACGCTATTATTATTTTTATCCAGTGCAGCTTAACTACAAAAGTGAGAAAGGTAGACTAGGTCTCAGCACCGCCCTGTCGTGAAATGATTTTTTTCTAAATTTGAACAATAACAGAGCCAGCCACATTCAACAAAAGGCGGGCCAATTAAAAACCAATTATCTCTGTGATTGCAACTTTTTGAAAGTTTAGGGGTGTTTCCTGCAGAGTACAGGAGGGTGTGTCCGCAGGGTGACGGGCTGTGGGCTCCTCTCTCCTCAATAGCGTCTTTAGGACCTGGCCCCCCAAAAGGCAGCCAAGCCCCAGCCTTACCTTCTTCTCAATGTGCCCCAGTTGCTCTTTATAGAAGGTGTCACAGCGTCTCAGCTCTGCCTCTTGGCTCTCCAGCTCCCTGGCCTAGTTGGAAGAAAACAAAGCCCATGTTAGCTAGGAGCAGTGGGGCGGGGCTGGGGCTGCAGGGAGAAACCCACGATGATTTCTGCTCACAGTGACATTAATAATGAGAAGAATAGTGATAATGAATTGAAAACCGATGCTATGCCAGATTGCTTACATATCCTGTGTTTAACATTCACCACAGCCTTCTAGGTAGGTCATTGCTACAAACATTTCACAGATGACAAGCACTAACATTTACTGAATGCTCACTGTGTGCCAAGTACTGGTCCAAGTGGTTCCCACTGAATCTTTCACTTGATCTGTACAATCTCTCCAAAACGTAGGTAGGATTACGACCCCCCATTATAGATGAAGGAACAGAGGGGCTAAGTGATCATCCCAAAGCTCAGAGCTACGAGGGTGGAGGATGGGTTTGAATCTCTGCAGATGCAGGGCCTCGCTGAGGAGCTGCACTACCTCGAGGCCACACAGTCCAGGAGGACCAGAGCTGTTCTCTGGCCATGGAGTCCTCATACATGGCACCACACCAAGCCACTGACACACTCTGAGCTGTAAAAGGCAAGGATGCCAAAATGCCCTTCTTTTGGTGAGGCCAACTCCCTTCCTCAGGGGTCAGGAATCTGAAAGGTGAGCATTATCAGAACCCCAGGATCCTAGAGCTGGAGGGTACAGCTGCTCCCTCATCCAGCTGATGGAGAATGAACAGAACTGTTGGCGCACATGACTGAGGACCCTCTCTCACCATCACACTTAGGCTGAGTGACATGGCTAGCGAGGACAAGCAACGTGGAACCAGTAGACCTGGGGCTGAACCCACCCCACCCTTAACTAGCTGGGTGACCTCAAATAATTTCCTGTCAGGTATAATACATATGTGGAATGGAAGTACCTCACGGAACTGTGTAGCGGTTAAAAAAAACCCCACAGACAGGGGCATGGCCACTGCAGGCCATCACAGTGGTCACTGCTGAAACACCTGCATCATGGCAAAGTGGAGTCTGAGAACTTCAGAGAATAGGCTTGGTGTTTGTAGCAGGAATAATGCCATCTGCTCACCGTCTACCCTCTGCTAAGGGCTGAGAGAGCTCCTTGTGTCAATTCTCATGACCCCCAACAGCACAAAGCTAGTCAATGACTGAGGTAGACCATGAACCTAAGTCAGTGTGACTCTTGAGTTCTGTGCTTATCCCTTCAAACAACACTATGGTATCAGCCCATGGGCTTGAACTATTCGAAAACACCATGTAGTACAAAAAATACATCTGTATTTTTGAAAGCTTATTTCCTTGGCAGTGCTACCACCCTTGGCATGAAATCTTCCTGAAGCCCCAACAGGATGTGGAAGGGAGGGGTAATGAGGAGTCGACCACACAACAGTGCCTGAGGAAAGGCTTGGGTTTAGAGGACCACACTGCTCCCAGGAAAATGCCAGGCCAGCAAGGGCTTGGCAATAGGCTGAGAGCCGAGTTCTAACACCAGCTCGACCACTGAGTGGCATATAAACTTGAGCAAGCTGCTAGCCTTTTCGTGTATATTTTCTCCTTACCTGTAGAACGGGAAAAGGGTAGTAACTTGGCTCTCCCGGAGGCAGCTGCAGAATATCTAAAAATGCCAAGAAGGCTTCTGGAATGCCTGTGGAATGCCAATACTTCAAAAAAGCTAAATACAAACAGTGAGACTGAATGCAGGGGATTTCTCGCAGGATTCTTCAAAGCATGATGCTGAGGCATGGCCCAGGAATGAGAGTACGGCTAATGGGTGCTGGGTCCTCAGCAGCCAGCACTTAACCGTTAACACCCCTGGTGCAATCAGACGCTGGTCTGATACAGAGAATGCGATACAAACAGCTGGATGTCAGTGCTTGGACCAGAGCAGGCACTTGATGATTTGATTTTTGTGAATGAAGGCTGACATCAGACAACACTGGTCACTCCACATAGCTGCTGCAGTCCAGTATCTGCTTCCCAGCACTCACAAAAGGCCGTGCAGCAGGAATCGCTCAACATGACCATGAAATCAGGGAGGAACAGAGAGGTTTCAGTGACTGATTCAGTAATTGTCTACCATGTGACAGACACTATCGTAAAGGGGCTGGGGACACAAAAGAGAAAAGAGAGAGTTTCTTCTCCCATGGAGCTTAGATCCCAGTGGGTGAGACAAATGTATGAGCAGATAAATCAGATAATTTCAGAAGAGGTATGTGCTGGAGAGACCACAGACAGAATAACTTGTGGGATAGCAGGTTGTTATTTTCTCTAAGGAGATTTCCAAAACAGTCTTCTGCGGAAAAAATACTGAATAAACTATGTTGTTTCCAATACAAAGGTAAAATATCACCATTATGAAGATCTGCTCAGCGGATTACAGTCTTTGAATGGGGTATTGCAAGGGACCTTTAGTTATTTTAGTTATCCAGTCAAGAGAGCACCATCAGTTCACACTCTGATGCATCTACTCTGCTCCAAACACATAACAAGGGCAGATAAAAAAAAAAAGAACACAACACCAGAAAGACATGGCCAGGCTCAAAAACAAGATAAAATGAACCAACAAAATAGAAATGCATGAGGCCAAAGCCGAAAGAGGCAACTGGAACAAACCCTGCTCCACAGAGGCGGGGAACTGGAGCCAGGTTTGCCACCCAGAGCCTAGGGCTCCCCTAGAATAGGAAGCTGATAAAAAATTCCTCAAGACTCCCATGTAGGGCATGCTTTTCAGTTTGCTTAAACCTACGTTCAGCCCAGAGGCCATGGCTGCAGCCCACACAAATGGACCAGACGCTCCTGGCTCAGGTCCCAGCTCCACAGCACCACCAGAACCACCATGGAGAAAGGCCTCCGAAGGCCACACTCACACCTGGTCCTGCACTTGGGTGCAGGTGTAGGCAACCACAAAAATGCTGCACATGGAGAAAAGAAAATGAGAGAATGAAACAAAGCAAAGGAAAACAAGGCAAATATCAAAATTTCTACTCAAAACAAGTCTACAAACTAATCTCAGATATGTGCAGAAATGTAATGCTTAGAAGGACTACCAATAAAATCAGCAACTGGAATATGAGTTCACTCTAGATTACATTTATTTTATGGGACATTATAATGAAAAATTTTTAAAATTTTTTATTATGCAAAAATTTAAACACAAGACAGAATATAATAAAACCCCAGATAGCCATCACTAAGCTCCAAAAATTACAAACTAAAGGAAATCTTGTTTCACGTATACCGCCCACCTTCTCCCTACCCCCAAATTTCTTACAACAGATCATTTCATCTGTACCTACTTCAATCTATTGGGTTGTCGGAAAAGTCATGATATATTTTTCTATGTTTTTCGTTGTAAAAGTGCATCGTGACTTTTCCGACAACCCAATATTTCTCTAAAAGATATGAACTTTTATTTTCCTAAATAGAATACTACCATTGCACACCAAAATAATAATAATAACATTAATTTTTTAACATCATCAAATATTCAGCCAGCGTTCAAATTTCCCACTGATAAAAGATCTGCAAAATATATATTTTAGGTGTTCAAAAGATATGTGAATGAATGATTTCTGATTAAAAAAGAAGAAATTATAAACTTGGAACAGGCAAACCCCAAAACAGGTAAATGTTATAAATTTAAATTCCTTCAAAATGAAAAATGGATAGGACAAACCCTAAGCTGAGGGCAGTAAGAGAGAAATTAGCAAACTGAAATATAGTACAGAGATTTCAGCCAGAATGTTGCAATGGAAGACAAAGATAAAAAGTATGAAAGAGGAGTCTTGACTGATTATTTCAGAAGAATAGCATCGCAGGGATAGCAGAGGAAAAGAAAGTGGAGAAGAAGAGAAGGGAAGGAGAAGAGAGGAAGGAGGAGGGGGACAGATGTTACAGCAGAAGGCGAATGAGAAGAAGGGGAGAGTGGGCAGGATGAAGATGAAGATGAGGTGGGGGGAAGACAGCAAGAGGTGGGCATGAGGAGAAAGATGGGGAGGTTGGAAGAAAACGAGGGGAGGAGGAGGAGACAGGATGGAAGCAGAAAATACCTGCTAAAATGATAGGAATTAGTATACCAGTTAGCACAATAAATATGTGGTAGGCCAAGTACAGGGCCACGTAAGATGGACCCCCTTGATCCTCCTCCTGATACTCATGCTGTTGTGTGATGCCCTCCCCTTGAATATGAGCTGAGCCTTGTGAGGAACTTCTGAGGCGCGGAATATGGCAAAAGTGATAGGATGTCACTTTCTAATTGCCAAAGATAGCGATTTCTGTCTTGCTCACACTCTGTCCCTCGCTCTCTTTTGCTTGCTCACACTGATGGAGACACCTGCATGGTAAGGAACTGAGCCAGTAAGGAACTAAATCCTGCCACATGAGGGAACATGGAAGCGGGGCCTCCCTGAGCTGAGTCCTTAGATGAGACCATAGCCGGACGGCACCACAAGGCACTAGCCAAGCCAGACCGACAACCCCGACCTACAGAAACTGTGAGAAAATACACGCTGATTGTTTTAAACCACTAAACTTTGTAATCTGTTATTTAGCAACAGGTAACTAATACAAAATGTGAGTCAATTGATCTCACCCTTAAAAGTAAAAAGATAATCACTTTGGATAAAAGAAAGAAAAAGAAAATCCAATTATATTCCACTTAGAAGAGACCCAATCCCCCATACTAATGGCCTTACAAAACAAAAGAAAACCCTTCACTGGTAAACACAGACTGCAATGTTTACTATTTTGTTTACAAAAAAGGCTGAGCATTCAAACACAGATTTTAAAACACACATACAAAAACAAAAAAGTATTGACCTACCCTAAAGAAAAAATACTCAATAGAACCAGATGTAGCAATGGCACAGATGTTAAAATTAACACATAGGGACTTTAAAATAACTCTGATTAATATGTTAAAAAAATCTAGTAAGAAAACGGAAGATACCATGTGTATCCACAGGTAGATGAACACTACCTGGCCTCCATTTTTTTTTTTTTTAAAGATTT